CCCCCCCCCCCCACTGGCAGAACCCTGGCTATTCCATTGGCTCATATGGATGCTTGTCATGAGCGTGTCAGCCAAATAATGTTTGACACACTGCTTCCTCTGCTACAAAGAAAATATTCTGCTGACACATGTCTAGGCCCAGCAATGGGCTGTGGGCCCAGGAGGGAGACAAAGGAGTTTCTCTTCTTCTGATGGTTCAGAGCTGACCCTCGTGGCGGCCGGAGCAGCGATGCCTGTTGGATGCCCTTCTGTGACTCATCCACTTCTCTGAACCCATCCTTGGAGCGTGCGGGTCACCAGCAGACAGCCCAAAGACCGAATGGTGCTTTTTACTCTGTCCTTTCGAGCAATAGAACAGGTGTCACCATCTGATGAGAATTTCTGCAGTAAGTCTGGAGCCAAGGAGGACTTGACACACACCTCGATGCACTTTGAAACCTGGAGATGGCCCTTGGGTAGATGCATGCCTTTGCCCTCTGGGCGACTTAATATTTCAAGTAATTGAATAGCAACCTACCTACCTGCCCACTGCCTACCTCCCTGCTCATGTAACAGCCTGCTTTGTTGATTTGCTGATATTGCCGCTGCCAGCGTAGCGCTTTCAAAGGCGCTGTAGCACCAAACTGTAGAAGCCGGGGTTCTCAGGACCGCGCACTCCTCCCTCTCCCTGTTCCTTGCTCCCTCGGGCCATGTGCTGCAAGGGGCCTCATCCTGCACAGGATGTGGGGGGGACCACTGACCAGTAGGGACCAGCTTTGGAGCCAGACACTCTGAATCCCTCGGACCGGGTCTGCACTGAGGGGCCCAGATGGCCTGTTCCAAATGGGCCCCTCTGGTGTGGACCATCAGGGAGAGCGTGGGGGTGGGAGGGTTTGGTTTTGTCGAAGGTCCAGGTGGATGCTCTGCCTGGTTAGCTGGTTTTCTTCAGAGAGTATGGAATGAATGCTTTGAGGAGTGGCTCTCAAAGAGGAACCCCACAACCTCTCTTCTAGCCATGAACGTAGCATAATCATTGTACTGTATTATTTTTTTTAATGATTTTTGTTTGCCAAGTCTTGAGTAGGTAGATGTTTTGCCACAAATATGAATGTGTTTGTTGTTTCTAGACTTTAAGCAACGCGGATCGAGGCAATAAATAGCACTTAGAGAACAACGCGTTGATGTCACAGCAGCTCTCTTGGGTACATTCTGGGACAGGCTGAGGGCTTCCAGCCTAGGACACCAGGGACTTCAGTGAACTAGCTGGTCCACAGTGGTGGTGTTGTTACTTAAGACGTCCTACTAAGCACCAAGTGAACCGGGGGAAAGTGGTGTTTTCATTTTTTAAGCACAGATGGCTTTCTCACCCATGTTTGTTTGCCTTCCTGGTTATTTGAACTGATTGAAATGCCCAGATCCCTGCATTGGAGGCTGAAAGTGGGACAGCTCCACCATTCCTCGGGCTGTCAAGATGGGCAAACTATTCTTTCTGGCACGTGGATCCCCTCCGATAAGGCTGGGTGGGAAAACAGCACTTGGCAAGTAGCCGAGTAGGAGACATTTAGACAGCCCCAGCACTGGGCCAGATCAGAATGATGCTCCCGATTCAGACGCTCGCAGAGAAGGTGACTGGGCCGTTACAGTGCTGCCTCTATGGAGCGGCGCACCAGCTTCCCAGCCTCACCTCCAAGGATGAAATCAGGGCTGACCACGTGCAGCCACCACCCTGGTAACCACTGTCCAGAATCTGGGAACCCAAGGATCACAGGGTGCCAGCTGGGCACGCGGGGCTTGCTGAGTCCAGGGGAGACAGGATGAAAGAAAAATCTAAAGCTTATGATGAAGGTGGGGGTTAGAGGGTGAGAGGGCGGGGAAGCCACCCAGCTGCAATCAGGATTTCTTCTCTTTTTCGTTTTAAAAACTTTTAGACAAGATCCGAGTCTGCAGCCTGTAGAATCCCCACCCTGAGGGAGGAGGTATTTGTTCTGGCCGACTTGCTTAAGGAGTGTAGATGTTATTGGCACGAGGTGATGGAAGCTTTGCTTCACTAATCTTACTGCTCCATCCCAAGGGTCGCTCAAGTTTTAAACAATTTCTGCCAGAAGATTTCTTCCAGTAATAATGTAAGAGAAGAAAACCAAGTAACAACAGAAGTCCAAAGCAGAGAGTCCTGGGAGACCATCCCCGTGTAGATAGCTTTAGGAGGGGCTGGGTTCTTCCTCCATTCCTTCCATCACCCACTGGTTGATCATCTCAGCTGCTTTCTTCTTTACAGTCTTGGTGGCTAGGTTCCCAGTCCCTCCACATAGCCATGTGGCCAAGACACACAGTCTTCAAGTGAGAACTTGTCCCCAAACTCTGAGGAATCAGGAATAGATCTCTTATGAAGACTCTAAAAATAAGCCTTCGGTGTGAGTGGCGCTGTGTTCTTGGGCAGTGGATAATAGACTTCCTTGCATTTCAGCAAAACTTTGTATTTTTTTCAATGTACATTTATGTTTATCTCATTTGTTCATAAACAGTTCTTCAGTTTATTGGAGGGCAGATATTATTCCATTTTCCATGAGAAGGAAATAGACACAAATTCGAAGTCATTTGTCTGCGCTAGATTAGTGAGTAGTTTGTGGCAAAACTAGACCTTTCCCTCTGACCAGCAGGCTTTGTATTTTCTTTCCATGGCTCTGCCATGCCCTCCAAATGAAAATGTTTTAGTCATGATTTTGAAGATAGCAGCGCCTTGAGAGAATAAAAAAAATGCAACAAAACGTGCACAGCCAGAATGAAAAGAGTGCTGGCTAGGCACCATCCAATCAGCCGGGCCATTTAACAATTAACCACCACAGAACTGCCATTACACTCGAGGCCCCACTCTTGAAAGTCTTCCAGAAGTTTCAGATAATTTTCTGTTCTAAAGAGGGTTTCGAGTTGCCTCTCCCCCCCCACAGCTACGGGAAGGATGCTGAGGTTGAGACGCATCTGGTTCTTGTCACAATGGCCACAAGATAAACAAGAACAGTTCTGGGAGGGAAAAACTGAAAACCTGAGTGCAGGAGTGATGATGAATTGCTCCGGGCCACAGTCAGCCTTCGGGGAGCACATGGGAAATGGCAGGGTTGCATTTTCTTCCCCACAGAGTGAGAGGCTGTGTATTTTTAGGAAAGAAATCAGCGTGGGATGCTGGAGGTTTGGCTGCCAGGAACACTCACGATGGAAATTTCTCCACCGGGGTGTAATGAAAGAGAGATGAAGGTCTGCGGGAGGGAGCCTATTTGCATGCTTCGTAAAGAAAATCTCTCGAGCTGGCTTCCTGATTCTTCTGCACAAGTTTCAGCCCCTCACCCTCGGCTTTAGAAGAGTTCTGTAATTAGGCAGTGAGCGGAGATCCTGTTCAATAGCACCCTGGAATAGAATGCAGTGATCCAGCTCCTGACACCGTGAGTAAGATGGTCCAGACTTGGGGGAAAGGGAAAGGAAATGGGCAGAAAAGCAGGGCAGATGGCTGTGGGGAAAACTCTTTGGGGAAAGTGGAAACGAACTGGAAGAAAAGAAAAAGTCATAATGATTTCCTTTGCCTCAGCCAGGCAAGTAGACAGTGGAAAGACCAGGCACATGAACAGCATCCCAATTATTAACGAAGAGAACCAATTATAACGCTAATTAGAATAATTATCTGGGAAAGCTACTGAAATCCAAACAGAGACACTCTTATCCTTCCACGATTCCATTGCCTGTATCAGAACCCTCCTTTTTTCTAGTAGGAGACTCATTCCCATCACGCCCTTTGACTATCAGGAATGAATAAGACCTGTGATAAAATACGCCAGTATGCCATTTGGTACCATTTTAATGTATTTTAAATGCATAACTTAGGCAAAATAAGAATAGTTTATATGTATATGAAAGCAAATTTTGCAGTATGCAAGCTATGATGAATGCACTTAAGGCTGAACACATATTTAGCTCTTTTTGGTAAATAGAGTTAAATGATATGCCTCTTAATTCACTATATTCTGTAAACCTATCAATAAAAAGTAGCTCCTGCCTGTTCTGGCTTTGATCTCTGGTCTGCTTGAATACGGATACGTCCACCTGAGCCGTAGAGTTGAAGGGATGCCCACTCCTGGCTGCTGAGGAAGAGTAGGTTGTGCCCATGTATCTTATGACTCGCTCCCTGTTTAAACGGAAGATGGGCACCACAAGGGCCCTGTGGGTCTTCTACTTGCAAACTCAAAAGTCACAAAACGTCACTGAAGAACTTTCCAGTTGCACCTTTACCTGACCCGTGGAAGCAGAATTTGACGGACTCACCAAAAACTAGGAATCTTNTTTTTACCTGATCTGTGGAAGCAGAATTTGACGGACTCACCAAAAACTAGGAATCTTTGGGTGTCTCCCGATTCTGCAGGTAAGGAAATGAGATCACAAGATCTCACTGGTTAGATTAAACCATGAACAACTAGCGGGCAGGATTTTTGACTCGCTCTCTGCGTGTCTGGGGGATAACCAGGCACACAGTAGGCGTTCAGTAAAACTTTGCTGCACACCTCTATGTCTTTAATCTAAGGTCCATTTAGTTTAGTTGGACAAATGAAGGGTCAAACACTCAAATTACATATGACCTCATCCCTACTGTGTGCCAAGGACTTTGATGTGCTGTGCTCATTAGAGCTCTTGCTCTCCTGGGACTTACAATCCAGTGAAGAGGAAAAGTCATAATCGCCCAAGGCTATAGTCACAGCACAAGGTCCAGGTAACA